ACAGCTGCTTGGTGTCCAAGTCAACCGAAAATTGAAACATTGAGACCTTATATATAAAACATGTCAGACGATTCTTTTTAAAAATCACCCTCGACTTGCTATATGCAGCATATCATCCGTCCATCTAGAATTGCTCATGAGTCGCGGATCGATCAATGATAATTACTAAATAACCGATTCTTCGATAAAAAAAACATCGCAGTTAAATTCATTTGATAGATGATTAAAAATCGTCAACAACAGTCGATAAATCAAATTTATTTAAAGATCTTTCATATTGTAACATTAAATGGCACAAACATTCATGAACGTATTTTTTAAACGAAATATCTTCTTTTCCCCCTGTAGTTAAAAATCAGATACAGCCGGTGCTTACTCAGCATCATTATTTTATATTTCTCATTTTCAGCTTTTGTTTGCTTTCAAATATATTTGACAGTGCCTAGTTAATAAAATAATTCTTAATGCATTTAGATACTCGTAAGTTTTCATAAATGGAACTAAAGTGGAAATAGAATTGTGGTTGCTAGTTAACAAGCATTTACACAACTCTGTAGATCTGTTGAATCTAATTGTCTTAATGGCTATGCATTTGTGATTACTCAGTATTATTTCATCATTTTATTGATTCATTTCAGAGGGTCATTACATGTGCCAAACACTACAAGCATTCAATAATTTCTGAACCTCAACATTTACCGATTATTTATTCTATGATAATATTTCACTTGCGTAATAATCATTAATAATGACAGATAGATTTTGTGTTTTAAAAAAAAGCTTGTCCTTACTCAACCCTCTTGAGTTTTTTTTCCAGACATAATGATAAAGAAATATAAACAGAATTTTTAGCAAGGATTCAAGTTTGGTATTATTAGCGAGAGTGTTATGACCAGTAAAGATCAAAAGTAAGAGTTTTCTTCCCTGGCATAATAAGAATGAAAGAAAAAAGCTATAGTAGGTAAAAATAAACACAGGATTTTTCAGTGGAAAATCGCTAAAAACGAGGACGCATTTGATTAGCATTCGGTAGGAATCTGGGCACACTTAAAAATTGATTCATTATCCATCACATGAAATTTAAGGAAGCGGGGCTATCGATCAACCTCATGTTGTTATCTCTCACCCCCCCCTCTCTCTCTCTCTCTAAATATTCGAATATATGTATGGTTTCAGTTAACAACTATTACAGCCATATCAATATGATATTAATAAAAACCCTTTGGGAAATATTGTGGAGGGGACTAGCAAAATTATAACAACAGATTTAATTTACTATGTACAATAATGTGTAATTCCACTTATACAGTATCCTGTCATTTAGAATATGTCCCGCTATATTATATACATATACTGATACACAAAAGAAGTAAAAGCAATTAATTAAAATTTGAATGCTTTTTTTATCTAAAGATACTATTGGATCACAAATTTTCGTAGGAGTTTAATTTGTTTTCGTGGTCTGATTGATTGATTATATGTTCCTTTACGTCCAATTCGAGAATGTTCCATAACAGAAACGTCAATCCGCCAAAAGTATTCGTAAAAAAATCAAAATGACCGCCGCCATGTGAGTAATGTAGGTTCCGATTGAAATTTTAAAAAAAGGAAATAAAGAAATGAAAACTTACCCTAGTATTTTGTTATGTTTCTTTTGTTTCTTATTACTCACGTCACGGAAGCTCAGTCGGTAGTGCGCTTGCTCCGTTACTGGAAGGTCGTGAGTTCGCATCTCGGCCGATACTGACCCAAGTCGATAAAAAATTAGGTAGCAACTTCGCCAAGCGCTCGGCACTTTGAAGTGAAAGTTGCGGGTCCTTCGGACGAGACCTTAAAAACCAAGGACCCGTGTCACGACAGGCGTTGGCATGATAAAGATCCCTCACTGTTCGATGGCCCTGTGTGCAGAGTAAAGGTCTAAATTTGAAGCCATTCACCGGTATATGGTGACGTCTCTATATGAGTGAAAATTTCTCGAATGGGACGTAAAACAATATACAATCAATCAATCAATATTACTCTCAATATTCGTCTTGGAATGGATTTATACAAATTCTGAATGTAATTGATAGGTATATTACTCCACATGTCACGAATGGTTTGTTCCAGTTCACAGACATTACTTATGTTCGCGGCTCGTTTTTGAGGTTATCTTTTTAATAGCCACCAACAATTTTCAATAATGTTGAGGTCAGGGCTCTGAGATGGCCAGTTCATGGATTTAAGGTGATTATTTCTGCGAAATTATTGGGCGATTCGAGTCCTATGTCCTGGCGCATTGTCGTCGTCCGGAAATATGTAGTTACCATCTGCAAAATGCCATAAAATTACAGGCCACAGATTATCATCTAATACAGAAATATATTCTTCCATCAAGGACACAAATTGTTCAGATACCGTGATATGTGATGTACTCTCATATCATTAAAGTTAGCTTGCGTTTTGATGGCGGGCAAATACAATCAGGCAGGTACTCTTCGCCCACTTTTCTCCACACTCTCACACGCGTGTCTTGTCCAATAATTACCTTACATTCAACACTAAAAATGACTTTATTCCAGTGTGTATCAACAGTCTTGTGAAGATTACCTCTTCACCAAGCCACAACGATTTTGTTTGTTCACTGCACGAATTCTTATCGCCTTCTTTACTGTCCGTTTAAAATACCCGTCTTCATGTAATTTTCTCTCAATCGTTCGTTTAGAGAAAGTTCGATGTTTTCCGTAATTGAAAATGTTCGTTATTTCATCCAAAGATTTCATACGATGCCGCCTTACAGTCCTTGAAAGTATCCTTAAATCTCGTTCACCAAATTCCTTCGGCCGTCCGGATCGAGATAAGTTCTCTTAGTTCCTCGCTGAGAATATCGCCTAAGAAAACTGTACACGGTGCTTTGCTTTAACCCAGATATTCTGACAGTCATTTTTTTTTTTCAAATTTGCATCATAAAGCGCAGATATGTACGCTTTCTGCTCGTTTGTCAACTCTTTTCCCTTTCGATCCATCTTTGTTTACTATGGTTTTCTCAAAATTTACAGACGACAGGGATTTGACGTGAATCATGACGTTTAGTATCACGTGAGATCTATTTAAATAACTCTGGAATACCTATTTGCAATGGGCGGATCATAGATTTCACGGTAAAAAAAAAGCCATTTTGATTTTTGGCGGATGACTGTATAAATGAGGAGCTTCAAATTGAGACCTAAACTTGGCACTCATGGCCATGGAGCAGTTAGGGACCTTGATCGTGCCAACGTGTGACACGCGGCCTCGATTTAAAGGTCTTATCTGAAAGACCCACAACTTTTACTTCAAAAGCCAAGCGCATGGCGAAGGAACAGTTGTTACTCATTTTTATCGACTTAGGTGATTCGCGGTATGAAGAGATCCACAATTTCATGTCCTCCATGAAATGTATCATTTTAAACATATTGCAACTCGTAGTCAAATTTGTGGGGAAATTTAAGGTTTTATTAATCAGAGTACGACTTGTGTCTAGAAAGGGAATGAGTCAACGGTTCAATTATCGCCTATGCAAAGTTGATAATGCCCCAACTTTAACAATTCAGACTCATACCTTATTTCTTTTTTTTTTTCTTTTGTTGCGTTCTTTTTTAAAGGTTAAATTTAATTGGGAACTGTCACAACGCACAATACACTCACATTTCCCTTCCATCCAAAGTGTGTTTGACTTTACCTCCTTATTGAATCCTTTAATCTAGTTTTTGATAATGTGAACAAATAGTACACTGATTGCATTCACTTTACATCTTTCTGTATTACAATAAAAAAAATTACGTAAAATTTTAACATACTATGATTTCAAACTATCCTAGTAGTTTTGGGTCAAGATTTAAAAAGAAAAATTGAAATTTAATCTACGTGTGTACATGAGGCTACTTGCATAACAATGAGACTATAATTGGTAATCTGAATTCTTCCTTAAGTAAATTATCTACTTATCTAAAACTGAGGCCTCAATCTATATTTCTATGTAAAATGTCGACCCCCATATTGTTGCCCCACCCTAGCCTCAAGGTGACAAACTTAACCAAACTGAAATACACACTACATAGGGCTGGTGAATATCTTGTTCTTTAATATGAAAAAAAAATCCTTTATACTATGTGAAACATTAAGTCTCAGGTTAATCGCTGTCCTAACTCCATGGGTTATTATTAGAACAATTTTGAATCCACTATAAGTCTCTGTGACCTTCTTATTCTTCAGAGGACGGTTTCAAACGATTTTTTCCTACTGCTATGACAAATGCTGCCTCCTTTTATTGACTCATCCAGCCCGAGGGGTTATGATTTTTAAACAAACCTAAAAAAGATTGTTTTTTTCTTCTCTATTTAAAAAAAAAAACATGACCTCAAATAGTGGTTCCACTCTAAGTCGAGAGATCATTATTTTGCCAAATCCACATGGCCTTGTTGTACAATAGAAAATTGTTTTGAAGATTTTTTTCCCTGCATGTATTCATTAACTATGTAAAATTTGATCCCCAAATTTACATTTAATCATTTCATCAAGACTTTTTCAAAGATAATTTATCCTACATTTTCAATTCTCAAAGATAATTTATCCTGCATTTTCAATATATTTCTTAATGACAACTTATTCTCAGAGAAAGACATTGATGACAAACTTACAACTGAATTTTATGATTAACTTGACGACTTCAGCTTTTCTATGGCCATATTTCTTTATTTGCGTAGCAATAAACATGTACCATTATCGTTTTGTCTCTCGGTTGATTTAATGCTTAAGAACATATTTTACGTATGAATAATTTTCGAACCGAGGCAGGCAGCTGACAAATAGGTGGACGATACAAGGGCATCACATTCTCGTTTAAGTCATTCTGCAATTTCTACGGTCAAAGAAAAATTCATTTCATTGCATGTGTTGAAATTGATACTCTCATAAATCCTTTTTTCAAAAAGAACAAACATGTTTATTTTGAATAATTCAAGATTAATTTCGATAATCATCAAAGATCCTAAGAATTATTCTACATCATATATCTACCATAAGAAAATTGTACATTGTCGTCAAAATAACATTGTTTAACAGTATTAAGTCATATCATGATGCTTCATAAGAAAAAGATGAATTAGTCAGAAAGGGATCTTCTATTCTACGATACACGGCTAGATGTTTATCTCCTTTGTTTCTCGTGACCTTCTGACCTTCTTCCGTGCTTTCGTAAAGTTTAGAAACGACTGGATCATTATCCTGCAAATTACAAATCAAAATTTCTACTTATCACTTTGTTCATAACTATTCATAGCTGATTTATTCGAAAAAACGCAATTAATTGCCTGAAAAGTTGCTGAATGAATTTGAACGCTATCAGCTTTCCCAATCAAACAATCGTTACGATTTTAATAGTTTAAAAATAAATCCGATAATACAGTCTCACCAGTTCATCATCGGTGATTCTTTCAAACAATGGAAACTGATCGAAATGGGAGACCATCCAATCATGTAGATCTTTGACGTCAGTAATTGTGTACACAATACCCTGAAACACATTTACATTGAATTATTTAAAGGTACATTTCAATGTAGTAATTATCCAGTCCATTTATTCAAATCATTTTCTCCAATTGCTTATTACATTTACACGTCCGTTATTCTACAAAGCCTTTTTTCTGACAAAATGATTTCAAAAACATAGCAAAATAGAAAGTAACATACCCCAACTTTGATGACGTAAGCATATTCAGCTAAAAGAGTCTGACTTATAATTCTCCATTTGTGTTTTGTCTTTTTGAAATGTGGATCAGGAAAGAGAAAGAACATCTTTGAAAGCTAAAATAAAAGAGTTGACACAGTCTAAAACACTACATATTAAAATTCTGAAATAAGTTACAAAAGAAAGTAGTTTTACTTATATGACAAATATAACAATATATTCTCTTATTACTTACTGAAGCATTGCCTCATTTCAATCAGAAAGAATTAAGAGCAGTATTCACATCCTTCTCTCAACAGTTTTAAAAATGCGGTCACAAATTCAAAAGTTTTGAATTAAAACTAGAAATAACTAGCGAAATTGTGAGCACTTAGCTCACAAAATGGTACCCCCACCCCCTTATGATTATAATGGCAAAGTCCATTTTTTTTATTTTTGCTATGAGAAAGTCCAAATATCTGTCCGATCAAAACATAAGGTAGGAGGAACAAAATGGCACTACGTACTTAAGATTCTGTGAAAGTATCATTTAATTTAATTCAGAGTGGTATAAGAGGAGATGCGGATATGGAATGGGTACCCCTGATATTATAAAAAGAATGGCAGTGTCAATGTTTTGCTATGAGAAACCTGAAATACGTGTCAGATCAAAAACTGAAATAAGAGGTGTACAATGACACTGTGTAATAAAAATTCTTTGAAAGTAGCATTAAATTTTATTCAGTGGTATAAGAGGAGTTGCAGATAGGAGATGGGTACCTCCGATTTTATAGAAAGAATGGCAGTGGGAAACCCGAAATATGTGTTCGATCAAAAAGTAAAATAAGACGTGCAAAATAGCACTATGTAATAAATATTCTAAATCATTAAATGTTATTGAGTGGTACAGGAGGAGTTAGTGATAAGAGATGGGTACCCCAAATATCAAAGAAAGAATGACAGTGTCTGTTTTTTTTTTTTTTGCTATGGGAAACCCGAAATATATATCCGATCAGAAAGTAAAATAAAAAGTCATAATGCATCTCTGTAACAAAGATTCTGTGAAAGTCTCCTTATATTTTACTTAGTTGTATAAGAGGAGTAGCGGATAAGAGGTTATCCCAAAGCGGAACGGATGGACGGACAGACTGTCAGACGGACGGACACCCCCAATCACTATATACACTCCTGCTTTTTAAGCAGGGGTATAAAACATGAAAAAAAAATGCAAGAGTGGTAGATACCTGTCCTTTCTCGAAGAAGTTTGGAAGATATTTCATAGCATTTGATCGGATACAGGAAATGTTGGTGTATTTTCCGGGATTTTGAACTCTAAGCGCTTTGATTCTATCCTTTACATAGTCAAGAACCTTCACTCGAATTTCAATACCAAGCATCAGTGTATCAGGAAACATTGGCGACAGAGATACTACAAATAAAAGGGTATGATAAGCCCAGAGGCAACTATTTTATCATAAAGATGACCATCCTCTACATAAACATAATATTACGTACAAAAATCATTTTAGATACATCTGAACGGATGAAACAAAGATGCATAAATTCATTGATGTGAGTTCTGCACCTTATTCATGAGAAATAAATTCAACATATCTGACGTAGTTTCATTATTATAACAAAACAGAACAAAGTGAGCATTCAAGATTTCTAGAAACATATCAGAATGCACAATTTATATCAAAATGATTTGCATCGTTTCAAAAGACACGGCCTCCCTAATCAAAATAAAGGTGAATTCATGCAAAATCATGTAATTTATGCAGATAAATTAATTATACATAACAATGTAAAAAGTTCGATTCCTTACTATGGCCCCAACCTAACACATGGTCCATGATTTGAACAATTTAGAATCTATATTATGTCTAGAAGATTTCATAAAAAAAAAATTCTTTTCTTATCGTATTGTTCTTTAGAAGAAGATTTTAAAAGATTTTCTACTATATATTTCAATGTGAAACTTTGAACACTTAATGTGGCCCCTCCCTAACACGGAGGTCCATGATGTGAATAAAATTAAAATCTACACTTCCTCGGGTCTTCCACATAAGTTTCAATTTTCTGGCCCAGTGGTTCTTGAAAGGAATATTTTACAGATTATTCCTATAAATTTCAATGTAAAACTTCTATCTCCTATTGTGATACCACCCTACCCCTAATTTGAATACTTTTAGTATATAGAAATTTATACTACCTGAAAAAGTTTTCATCTTTTCTGGTCCAGTGGTTCTTGATGAGATTTTTTTTATATTTGAATGTAAAAATTTCTTTTCCTATTGTGGCCCCAACTCACCCCAGAAACATGAATTGAACAATTTACTATACACATTAAATTTTCTTCAGGAAGCTTCCACATATGTTTCATCTTATCTGTCCAAGTAGTTCTTGAGAAGAAATTTTGTAAAGATTTTTATATATACTCAACAAAAAAAGAAATGCATATTCAGATTAAACATGATTATTTAGTTCTTCAGTTTATGTCTTATTCTTATGTTTTATTTTTTATTTCTTAAGTGTAATAAAGTGTCTTGAGATAAAACTCAAACATGTCTCATGTTGCTGTACTGAAAAGTTTAGAATAATATCACAGCTTCCCTTGGTCCATACAAGGCAGAAATTTAATGACTGTATTACAGTCAGTTTTAATGTCGCGTATGTCCTCCGTTTGCATCAATTGCAGTCTGAACACGTCGCGTCACAGAGTTAATAAGCCTGTTGATGGTAACCTGAGGGATATTGTTTCATTCATGCAACAAGTCCTGCTCTAGATCCTGGACGGTGGCTAGTGGATTGGGACGGCGTCTAACTAGTTTATCCAGCTCATTCCATAGATGTTCTATCGGATTAAGGTCTGGTGAGAACGCTGGCCATGGAAGAACATTTATGTTGTTCGTCTGCAGAAAATCTGAGCACACCCTTGCGTTGTCCTGTTGCAGAGTCAGATTGTGCTGATGGACAAATGGAACAACCACAGGGGGAACGATTTCATCGCGATATTTTGACAATAGACCCCCGATTTATAAGAAATCGTGCAAAACACTCTTTTCATAGACATGATTAATCAAGCAAAACATTTCGACATTTGGGTTTTAAAAGCCAATGTTGTCCTCTAAATAGGTCACAGATATCCAATAATAAAAGTAATAGTTGTTCTGTGTATTGTTTCAAAATTTCTTTGATAAGTAAAAAATACGCGTTTCTTTCTTTGTATGGTATATATTTCAAAGTAAAATTTTCATCCTCTATTGTAGTCCCACCTTTCCGCTGGGGTCAAGATTTAAATAATTTATAATCTATATTTGTTCAGGAAGCTTCCATATAGTTTCATGTCTTCTGGCCTAGTGGTTCTTGAGAAGAATATTTTTAGAGATTTATGTTATATATTTAAATTTAAAACTTTCATCCCAGATTGTGGCCCTACCTGAACCTCGTAGGTCATGATTTGAAATATTTTAAAATCTACACTTCCTCGGGAAGCTCCCACATAAGTTTCCCTTTTGCTGGCCCAGTGTTTCTTGGGAAGCAATTTTTTAAAGATTTTTTCCCATATATTTTAATGTAAAAGTTGCATTACCTAATGTGGCCCTACCTTTCACCTTGGGGTCATGATTTGAACAAATCAGAATTTACAGTTTGTCAGGAATTTTCCACGTACGTTTCATCTTTTCTGGTCCAGTGGTTATTGTGAAGAAGAAAGCCTTTCTTGATCATGATTAACTTCCAATGGAATAGGGCTTGGCCCTTAATTTGAACTAATTAGAATCCCTTTATCCAAAGATGCCTTGTGCTAACTTGTTAAAATTGGTTCAGTGGGTATTGAGAAGAACAGTACCAATCAGACCCAACCTGATATCCAAGCAGTCCCCGAAAGCAGTCCTGGGGACTGCTCTGGGACTGCTGTGGGAACACTCTGGGACTGCTCTGGGACCGCTGTGGGGCTGTTCTGCGATTGCTTTAGAAAGCAAACCTAGCAGTCCCAGCAGTCCCCGGGACTGCTTGCTTGGACTGCTTTTTTCACTCATGTGTGAAAAGGTTCTGAGTGACATGATAGCCCCGCCCCTTGTGTATTCCAAATTTGCAGGTTCCCTGTTATAGTTTTGTTTACTTTCACCAGAGAGGTTGTTAATAAATTGAAATAAAAAATAAGATTTCTTTCAAAATTTTTATCAGTAGGTATAGTAAATGGGATTTTATGTACATGTACGTGTGTAAACCGCCGACCTTGGAAGCACAAAGAACACTAGAGGTCTTAAGGTGCTGTAAATTTACACCATTGCAGTCTAGAATTAATCAGAAAAATTAAAGTTGTTTCGACAGTTTAAAAAAAATCGAACAATTGATGAAACAGGAATATCAGCAGTCTCGTTTAAAGTCATCATTTCATACGTTCTATGGTCGATACAATGACCTTGTTAGCAAATACAATCTATCATTAAGTCAAATGCTGACTGACTTTTTGTTATACTAATTGTTAGGCCATTATTTACACACTGAATTGTCAACGGAAATTTCCGTTATTTCCCGATCATGACAAGGAGCACACGGCGGGTGTGACCGGTCGGCAGGGGAGCTCACTCCTCCACGGCACCTGATTCCACCTCTATGTCTTAGAGGTCAGTGTTTTCTCTGCTCTTATTTTTTCATGTTTAAATGGATTTTTGAGCTCGAATACTGTTCGTTATCTCCACATATTTCAAGTAAGGAGATGATTTCCACCCTGTGAATTTAACGTTAATACAGGTGTTTGAAACAAAATAATTTATTCGATTAATAAATGCTGTTCAATTATGTACTGAAAGTTTCCATTGGCATTATTCTAACTTGTCATCACAGTTAGATATTCAGAGCGACGTACTGAACTGGATTTTTTTTTAAATTGAAAAATATAATATCACTCTACTATGGAACATTCAATGCTATTTTTTACCGTCTTCAAAATAAAACCAAATAATTTTAGAAATAAATAAATTATTCTACCATTCTTCCGGCACATAAACAATGTGGATTTATTTACTAGGGATGGCAACGAATATTCGAACATTCGAATATTCATTCGATGAGTTGATATTCGAATATGAATTTAAGATTTGAATATTCGGTGTTTTTCATATTTCATAAAAAGAAGTACTGTGATTAATAAATTTTGATTAGAACAGTGCTGGAATTATCCCTGTTTAATTTACTAGCGATCAATTTCGATCGCCTGATTTCTATCACAACTTTCTTAAGCTATAGAATTACTAAATTACATGGATTTTGTTTTGAATAAGGTGTTAAAGAATTGTACAATAATGCTTTATGTATAATACAAAACGTACTTTCATAGTTTTTATTAGTTAAATAAGATCGGGTCAAGAATCGAGAACAACAAAATGAAAACCTTCTTAGAATGTCTAAAAGACGTGAAGAGTATACTTATCAAAACAAATTTAATTGATCGTTCAAATGAATGTCCACTGTAATTAATTTTGTAAAGGGCTCAATTTCAGAATAAATGATTATATCTTGGGTTGTACATAATCCTGAATTTATATTTATCATCGGGAAATTAATTAATTACCTAGGAAAATTATCTTTGGAAATATTTGTTTTTATTTTAAAAACATTGTATCAAAGATTATAATCATATCTGTTATTCTGTTACACCTGAGATTTCAATGCATGTTATTTGGGTATCAGTGTTACACATCACTGACCATGCCGGTCAACAAGACACTAATGTCGATCTTCGTATTGCAAATATCCTTGTTTCAATAAATATGGTATCAATCTTTTTTTCTGGATTATTTAATTTTGGACATAATCTGAGGTATTCACTTGCGTGCTTTACATGTAAACGCTAATAGAATAAAACACTTAAACCTAGTGAAATTGTTTTCTTTTACATAGATATTCTAACGATAATTAAATCGACAAGTCATTGAAAATAATCATGACCAAAATATACTATATACTAGTCGGCAAAATTGAATGAGGAGTTTTTTATAAGCTCCAACACCAATGAAAAATGCATTCAGAGTAATATGAGGATCGGCCTTCCTCTATAATCGTTAGATCTATTTTTAGCTAATTATGGCAGAAAAATAAGCCATTCAGTTTTAATTTTCCAAAGAAAAAATAAACGGAAAAAACATGAATCAGAGGAAATAAACAAACAAATTTAATTTGATATAAAATTAATATACCACATGACTGTGATAAATCATTTACGTTATTATTAAGATGTGAACATCTTTTTCCTTCAATAAGTTTTCTTTGTTTATATAATATGCGTACTGTGATTTTGTTAACAATTCAGAAATAACTGTCGCGTAAGAATTGTGAATATTTGTTGTTTTATGTTTATGTATTCACTTTTTCTACTCAGAAAAGAAGTGCATCATTAATTTCAATAATTTCATTAACTGCCTTTATAATAGTGACATTGTTTATTGATAATCTCAGTTCTGAGTAAGTTCCGTCCATTAAATTAATTAACCCCGCCCACTAGGACCAATTGGACTGCTGAGACTACTGTGTGACCACTGTGGGACTGAAACGAATCAAGACATACGCAACGTGAACTTTATTTTCTTACTTCCTGTATAATGTAAGAGTCCAAATAAATGAAGGACCTTTGAACGATTTTTTTCTATACCTGGTAATGCTGTACACCTCCTCAGAATCAAATTTTGAGGAAATACCAAATGAAGCTATTTTTTGTTAATTTTTCTTAAAATAAAAAAGATTTCATTATTTGATATATGTTAAAAACTGTTGATAATACATTTTTTTTCTTTTGTTTAAGAACATCTAATGGTACTATGATTTTTAATTAAGATTATCTTCATAAACTGTATCAGTGGGAAAGGTACATTGTAAAGCACATTCTTATGTGCGTTGCATATAACCTTAATTAATCAATCAAGGTGGAAAAAAACTGATTATCCTCAAAATGTTAAGGATGAAAACTACCAGTGCCGCTTAATTTATATTCCATAACAAAGGAATAAAATCTCATATTTTCTTATGTTTTATTATATATATAATATTATGTTATATTATATATATAATATATATATATATATAAGAAAAAAATTATATCGCTTTATCACTACATTTATTACATTGTCGTCACTGAAATCACAAGCATTTTTAATAGATAATTTTGATTCATTGGACACTACAGCAAATTACACAGATGCGTAAAAGGTCACTAAGATCCCGGGTGATAGCAGAGGATGAAACTATACCATTCATTTAACTGAAAAGTGACTGAATTTTTGACAAAGGTGATTGAATGGCAGAGCTCTGGCAATCAGTCACCTTTTCTGACCTTTCAGTGAACTTAATTCAGTTGACTGAATGTTACACTTTCTTCCTGTTTTGATTTTATTACTATTGTATTAATTGTTTTATCTTATTTTATACATGTACATATGTAACCGTAAATCACTGTAAATTTAACAAGCATTCTGAGAGTATTGCATTAGCAATACTAGTCCCCTACCGGCAAGTGTAATCTGGTTCCCGTTAAAAATTGAAAATGCCATAATTCCGTCAAAAATCAATGAAGCTGGACGAAATGCAAACTTGATCTATAACTAATCAAGGTAAAGTCACATACCAAAAATTAACTCAATATCTGAAAGCGTTTAGAAGAAAATTGCGGAAAACCCTTAAAAATTGAAAAGGCTGTAATTCCGTCAGAAATCAATGAAGCGGAACGAAAAGCAAACTTGATCTGTAACTCATCAAGATACACTCACATACCAAAAATCAACTCAATATCTGCAAGCCTTTAGGAAAAAAAGTACGGAAAACCAAGTGGGACAGACTGACAGACAGACAGAGGGACAGATGGACAGACGGACAGACAGACAGAGGACGGACAGACTCAGAGGAAGCCTATAGTCCCCTCTGGTTTCACCGGTTGGGGACTAATTATAGTTTGTAAAAAGATACTCGTATTTACATGATGTCAGCTATGAATAAAGGAAAATGGATTTTTTGAGATCAGTATAATTAACAGTCCTGGTACGTGTGCCTAATCGTTATTTAATACCACTAAACATTTCCCTTTAAAGTAGATCCAATCTGGAACGGATCTCTTTTTTAATAAGCTCCTTTTGACATATTCTTAAACATGTCTGTAATGAAATCATTATTCATGAAAAAAAAAAACGAAAAGTGTATAATGATAAAATTCAAATGCTTAATTGTGAACTCGCTTTGAAGTATATCTGCAAAGAATACAAACACAATCGTTTAAATCGCCATTAAGCCTGAAAGGAATGACATCATGCATGGCTGACACATTTGTACTGTATTAATGTATTAAATGTCTCCAAATTTTTAAATAAACCCAGTTGTTCTATAAAGCTTTACTTAAGACCGCCGAACATTAACTGGCAAGATTGGAGATATGAAGCTTACGTCATTTACATCTCTTGCAGTCAAAATATTTGTTGATAGACAATGAAATGGGCGGGTACCAATCGACAAGGCCGTCTCAGAGAACATTGGATTGAAATTCTAGTTTAAAGTTGCATTTGAAAATCAACCTAGGCTATCTTCATCGCAAAGTGTTAATGTATGATCCTAAAGACAAATAATTTCAAATCCCAAGTTGTAAGAAATTGATGTAGATCGGATTTTTCGATCCAATATTTTTAAAAACGTTATTTAGAAGATGTTCTTTTAGCGGACAGTAATTTGATTGGGGGGAGGGGGATTAAGTTTATTTCTGTCCATGCTTTACAAAACAGAATACATTATATATTAATTTGTAGGATCATAAGATATATTACTTTTTCCAATTCACTGAAAAAAAAATTGACAAGTAAAAACGGGGAGCAGGGAAGAGGGTGTATCCAAATTCCAAAACTTCCGGGCTTACTTCCAAGATTTAACACCCCACCCCACCCACCCCCCGGCCCCACCTCAGGAACCAAATGTCCGTCCTCTAATCATTACTTAAAAACATCGGACAGAAAACTCCGATTTATATTAATTTCAATCTACATGTATTCTAAATCGACATTATCTGTTTTCTGGGTATAAGAGTAGCTGGGGTGGCTTGAAAATGAATTTTGTTTTAGAATTTTAATTCGATGTTTTCTCAGACGCCCGCACCGAATTGTACTTGCCAATTTCTCATTGTCTATCATCAAATATTTTGACTGAAATAGATGAAAATGACGTAAGCTGCATATTTCCAATCTTGCCAGTAAATGTTCCGCGGTCTTCAAGACTTAAAGGCAGTCGAAACAATTAGCATTACCTTCACCTTCAGGTCTCCACTTTCTTGTTTTCAAGAAAAACTTGTTCCACCATTGTGGTCCCCCTTATGCTTAGGGATTATGATTTGAACAAACTTGAATCTACACAACATTAGGATGCTCCCATATCAATATGACTAATCATGGCATTGCTGTTCTTGAGAAGATTTTTGAAGATTTTTTCCTATATATTCCTATGTAAAACTTTGATCCCTCATTGTGGCCCAACCCAACCCCTGGGGATCATAATTTGAAATATCTTGAATCTACACTAATCTACATAATGCAGCTTTCAAATAAGTTCCAACTCTTTTGCCCAGTAGTTCTTGAGAAGAGGATTTTTAAAAGATGCTACCAAACTTTCAATTATTTTTAATTATCTCCCCTTGAAAGAAGGGCTGGCTCTTCATTTGAACAAACTTGAATCCCCTTCATTCAAAGATGCTTTGTAGCAAGTTTGTTTAAAGTTACCCAGTGGTTCTGGAAAAAAGTCGAAAATGTGACAAGTTTACAAAGGGACAGACAAACGACAGACAAAATGTGAGCAGAAAAGCTCACTTAAGCCTTCAGCTCAGGAGAGCTAAAAGAACTCAATGAAATGTGCCCAAACTGTGCCCAGTATTTCAGAAAATATATTACATTGTAAGATCTATTGCCTGATTTGGCATGAACTGTATATTATATCAGCCCTGTCTTTAAAATTATAGACTAGAGCAAAGAATTAATGCAAATAAAAGGAAAGAAAAAATCCCTAACATATAATCATAAATTTTTATTCAAAAATATGCTGAAAAATTTCTTTCACAGTAATGCCATAACAAGGACAACCCATTGAATAAAAACAAAGATGTAAAAATAGTATGTCATTACCCTGTCATATCCCTCCGCCAAAACTTTCCAAGTGACTTTTTCCTCTGTTTCAAAATCTTCCAAATTTTTTTCTACGGCCATATTACTATTTTCAACATTTACATCCAATTTTGCAGACATATTTATGACATTAGACTCGTCTTTTCTACAGAAGCAGCACAGACATCGGAGTCTCAAAACATTTAGTATAAAAACACATTGACTTGAAACTGGTAATAAAGGATCTTTAAAATGAAAACGCATTGTAACAACAGCCAAAATGCATATCAATGTGCTCATAGACATCGTAATAATTAAGAAGTAAGACATCATTGACATCGGCTCAGAAGATTTAGGGATATTGTCACTGAGCAATGTCATAAATACAGCAAAAGACAAGAAGATTGTTATAGCATAAGACAAACGTTCTCCACTTTCAACTGGTAAGACAAACACAAGAGGGTTAAGTAAGGACAGAAGAAGGATAGGGGCTAACATGTTTATGACGAAATAAAGGTACTTTCTTTCTAAAATTATTCCAATTTCAAGTAAATTATCGTAATCACCAAGTGATGACCGCTTCATTTCTGTCCCTTTCAACGTCCACTGAGCATTCGAGGAGTAATAACTCGTATCCACTGTCGTCTTATTGTCATGAGGGGTTAATCTAGTTTCAGATGGCGAATATCCCCACAGAGCTATTGTAAAACTGCATGATTGTGTGTCAAAAGGAAATTTATACATGTCAACGTTGCACGTAGTCTGAAGCAGACCTGCCGGTACCCAAGTAACTCTGCCAGAGAAGGAAATTCTGCCAAGGAAGTCTTCATCCCCAACTGCTTCCATTTTCTTGGCTGGGTCAAGCAAAAAAATATTTGGAATCCATAGTTTCTGTTTGGGAACAGGGAGTTCTTCAATGCCACCATAGTTGCTTGGTGTCCAAGTCAACCGAAAATCATGCCAAACCAACATAAAACTACTAACAATGGACAAAACCCCAGAGACTTCATCAAAATCGTTCACAGAGAAAACGATCGGCTTAATGGAGACCTCTAAAACTTCTGATAAGTTCTCTTTTGGTCGGATATCTGTTGAATAGTTCTTAAAAACATCCTGAAGAAGTGATTCGGCGTCTGAATATAGAAAACCATGAACAGATGATAAGAAAAGTCCACTGATCAACAGTAAAAGCAAATACGACCTAGTAGATTTTTTCTTCATAGTCCTCTCAAGCAATCTGTGTAGAGAATCAAGCAATCTGCATTTAAATGGTCAACTGCGGAGAATATTTATAGAATGATTTCATACACCTTATATTTAATCTTCTTTCTCCGCTTGATCAGTTTTGAATAGTATTTCAAAATGACCCTTGTTGAAGTTTAGTTTTCACTTTCTGCTGCTAAAACAAAGATCTGTTCAGCAATTTTCAGGGAGCAATATTTGCTTTCAATCCCTTTCTTCTGTAAATGTTATCTCAGTATCCAAGTACTTCTCATTTACTTCCATTTTGAAAAAAAAATTCTTTTCAATTGTAATTAAAATAAGCAGATTTCTAACAACCTATCTAATAATGGTTACGGAAATGTGCATTCGTTTCTATAAGCCAAGAAATTTGCAGCTCATATAAAGAAAAGGGGGCGTCAGACGATTATATGTGATAACCTAGTCACTGAAAATAAATATCACAGTTATAATCACATTGGATGAACTTTCAGGTGGTCGTAATGCGATTTTTACACAAAGAAATATTGGCATAATTCGACAGAAACACTTTTTCTTTATATTCTTTTGAATTACTTTTCAAAAATTAAAAATAGGATTTCAATTAATTCAAAGGGAACTCTGAGGAGAAAAAAGTTCGTAGCCTTTAGAAACTTTGAATTTCTGGGGGAAAATAACGTCGATATAAAGTTAAACCATTCAAAGTTTTTGATTTTTAAATCTTTCTCAAAGAACAAGGTTCACTTAGGGCATTTTTTGGCCCTGTGAATTTCAGAAAAACTGAAACTGCTTGGTTTTAGTTGACAATGCATTAAATATCATTAAGATCTTTGGTGACTGCGTATCTACCAAAAATGACGTAATTTTCTGGCTAGTCAATGCATTATGACGGTCATGAAATGCGTCATTTTCCTCATATCCTGACAAATTCTACAAAAACAGCCAATTTTTAAAGCTATTTTTCGATACTTAAAATAGAGCGCAATGTCTGATCTAAAATATGCAACTACTAGTATTAAGGAGGCTGGGGGGTCAACAAATTAACCATCAGATATAACTTAATTTTTTAAATATGATATTTTAAACTGTCAACTATCATTTGGCAAAGAAAAATTTATACATTTTAGTTGTAAAATTTGATCATTTTTGTATATTTTATATTGAGCTCTTCTTCTAAAGGAGATCAATACAGTCTGAAAATGGCCACAACCACCCAGCCCTCTTAAATGATAGAACTATTTCTGAGGATTACAAAACCTGTTTTATTTTTTGGATCAAAGGGTGCGCTCATATTATTTCTCTTCTGTGAAAGTACTCAAATACACTTGTTTTCCCTAAAATTCAAGGACATTGCTATTCCATGAAGCCTGTTTTCCAAGACCTTGGCTTTAAGGTGAAAATTTTTAATAGGAAATGAAAGCACTAAGTCTCTACTTTATCTTGATGTTTAAAGTGTTAGTCAATAAATCGGTATATCTACAGGGCCATTATATGCATAAAGTGAACCTAGCTCTTTGATTTATTTCGGTGTAATTGACATATTATAAATATAACAAATATATAAAAAAAAAACTGTTGCCCTTGGCTTTCAGTTTAACACCAAAAACTTAGTAAAACGCTGAATGTAAAAAATTCTATTGGAATAATGAAGACTTAATTTTGTTAATATATGTTATATACTATTTATTTACATTCCCGATCAAAATCATCGAATATTGTTCAATTACGGCATCATTGACAAATTCAAATTTTCCTCAAGATTTTCCATATTTTAACAATATAATCCGGTACATACATTCATTAACGTGCCCAACGAAATAATTTATTTAAACATAGTGTATCTATAGTATATCCAGCTAAGTAGCATATAGGGTCTGTGAACAACTAATGGATCTTTATTTTCATCTCCTCTTTCCTTTCAAAATATATTTCTTAACAATTCTTTCGGAAGAAGATAATTCTTATGTTTGTGAATACTTTTCTCTTATGATGGATCCTCTAAACACTAAAGCAAAATGTTTTTGGACAGTGAGAAAAATATATTGTATAAAGATGTAACTACATGTACAGAGGTGATCTATTTCAATTTTAACCTTGGGTACCTAGCATTTACTCCCAGGAAAAATACTCAAATACAAAGTTACTTCAAAGGGACAAACACATGCAATTAATTTACCTTGGCTTATTTAGAATGCATCAACTACAAATAAAGTTGCATATTGTAAATTACATTTTTGAAAATTATTAATAATGTAAGGGTAGATTATTCTAACTGCATAAAAATACATGTACCATTTTATCAGAATTCTTTAGTAAGCAGTGTATAGAGGTTTCTTAAAGGAAAGAGACATGAAAAGAACATGGTCTGCAGAAGTGGATTGAAATGCATTTAAACAACTTTTGTCATGCCTGTATCTATTGACCGTATTAGTTGCTGTGCTTTTCTAAATATATACACAAATTTTATTTAATCTTTACTGATTCCTTACACGGACACTGCGCGTGCCAAAACGCTTAACAAATTCATGAATTATTGGTGACCCTTAACAGTTACTACCTACTTCAGAGACATTATTATTATTCATAGTGGAAAGCTTCTATGAGTGACAAAAGGATCATCTCTATTCAGATATAATGATAATGAAATCATACATCACTAGAAAACTGGCTAGTCAGTAAATGCCCGCTGTAAGATTGAAGATGGGATGTAATGACCTAATAGATTGAAGAAAAAAAATTCAAGGTGTGCCAAAAGGCGCAATGGAACCACACTTCTCTTTCTGACAAAGAATATGTATTGAATCCCATTTTTATTTCAGTCTCCCAAAAAATAAAAATATTTTACTTAAAACAATGACTCACATTTGCATGCTAACCTAACCGCAAAGGCTATAACTTAAAAAAAAATACATATGTACCTTGGGCTTCTTGCATATCAGTACAATTATGAGGTTATATTCTTTTTAAAAGAAAATATTTTTTTTAACCTCTTCTTTACCTTTCTATATAAAGTCAAACTAGATCCAAAAAGGGAGCTTTGATTCAAATTCAATTTACACCACAGGAATATAGTTGCATATTATAAAACTGTACGTAATCCCTCTGTTCATGAGATAAAAGAATTTAAAAGATTTGTCCATATAGTTAATTGCAGATTTTAGCAGAGAAATGTTACTTTGATCGAGGGCAATTACGGTTTTGATCCTTCCTTAAAACTGAGCATTTCCGAGACTGCATCTAAGAGATAAGAGTTGCATTTGACTTGAACCATTTCTTTACAGTTATAAATTTTCCTCTGAAGAAGACATATACTCTTTCAGACAGATAAAGCAATGTGTTAGTTTTCACAATTGTAAACAATTTTAACTTTCAAAATTATCTCTGAGTCATTCTTTTTCATTAACCATGTTTACATATGTACTAAGTAGGTACTCTGTTTATTGCAACTAAACCTGTTTAACGGGGTAATTAAATCCTAGAAAAGTCTACATGGGTAAATTTTATTCTAATGAGACAAGAACTATAGAAGAAGCGTCATTTTGTAATACTTTGAATTTATATGTTCTATTTTAGTAATACAGCCATTTCTGAGATGAAAATGGTGCAAAGAAATATCGATGTAAATTCAATTTGTACCTTTTATTTAAACCAGAAAAAAAGCTGCAGGAGTAAAAATTTAAAAGAATGGAACAGAATTTCTACTTTGTATAACAATGCCAATATTATTTACTGCAATTAAAATATTCCAATAAAATATTTCATATCTTGGTAAGGTCACTAATTTGTACTAAGTTGTATCAAAATCAGATCAAACCTGTGCGAGGAGTACTTTGATTAGTTGTGGATAGGCTGGATCAAAAGCATAACAACTTACATGTAGGAACGCATCAGATATATTTGATAATCAGTACAGCTTTAATCAACAGACACAAGCACACAAACAAACAACATTTCGATAAAACATTTGAGGATTATATAATCAACGCAATGTTTCAACAATTTCCAAACTTAACAAATGGTTCTGATCTCAACTTAAATTTCGAATAATTATTTTATAATCAATACCTGTATCTTATATATTGTTTCACACTGCTAATACCACTCCCAGAATAACCCACTGTAGAAACACAAGAATATAAAAGTAGTACGTCATTATTTTATCATATCCCTTCGCCAGAATCTTCCAAGTGACTTTTTCCTCTTTTTCATTATCTTGTGTATTTTTGTCATCGGCCATTTTACTTTTCACAAAAACTACATCCAATTTCGAGGACGTGTCAATGACTTTAGACTTCTTCTTGCGTTTTCTACAAATATGACACAGGCATCGGAGTCTCAGAACATTAAGCATAAAAACACATCGACTTGAAACTGGCAATTTAGGATTTTTGAAATGGAGACGCATTGTAACAACAGCCAAAACGCATATCAATGTGCTCATAGACATCGTAACTATTAAGAAGTAAGACATCAAAGACATTGGTTCAGAAGATTTAGGCATACTGTCACTAAGCAAGGTCATAAATACGGCAAATGACAAGAAGATTGTTATAGCATAAGATACACGTTCTCCACTTTCAACTGGTAAGGCAAACACAAGAGGGTTGAGTAAGGACAGTAGAAGGATTGGGGCTAACATGTTTATGACGAAATAAAGAGATTTCCTTTTCAAAATCAATTGTATTTCAATTAAATTATCATATCCCCCAAGTGCAGATGGTTTCATTACTGTCTTTTCCAACGTCCATTGGGCATTCGGCGTGTAATAAGTAGTATCCACGAATGTGAAATTGTTAAAAGGGGTTAATTTAGCTTCAAATTGCGAATATCCCCACAAAACTAAAGTAAAAGAGCATGTCTGCACATCAAAAGGAAATTTATACATGTTAACGTTGCACAAAGTCTGAATCAGTCCCCCAGGAACCCAGGACACTGCGCCAGAGTACGAAATTCTGCCTATAAAGTCATCACTTCCAACTGCTTCCATTTTGTTAGCTGGATCAATCAGAAAAATATTAGGCACCCATAATTTCTGCTTGGGAACAGGAATATCCTGGATGCCACCATAGTTGCTTGGTGTCCATGTCAACCGAAAATCATGCCATGTCAGAAAAAATCCACATACAATGGACATAACACCAGAAACTTCATCAAACTCATTCACTGAAAACATGAACGGCTGAAGAGAAACTTCTAAAACTTCAGAGAAGTTCTCTTTTGGTCGTATATCTGACGAGTAGTTCTTAAAGACATCCTGAAGAAGAGTTTCGACGTCTGAATACATAGAGCCATAAACAGATGTCAACGTCATTCCGCTGATTAACAGAAGAAACCAACACAACAGAGAGTTCTTCTTCATAATTATTTCAAGCAATGTAATGTGGCTGAAACTGTTGGATATTCAAGAAATATATCTAGGGTATTTATAAATCCAAAATTTAAAACCTTTTCGTTGGTTGATCAGTTTTAAATACTTTTTCAAAACAACCCTTGTTGAAATTCGGTTGTCTCATTGTGTGCCAAAAGAAAACAAACCTATCTCTTTAAGAATGTTGAGACAGTCACATAAGTAATAAAGATTCAATCACCTTAAAATAATACGCACTTTTTTTTGGGGGGGGGGGGGGGTCTGTAGAAAGCACAAGTACATATTCTATCACGAAACGCTTAATAATCCCATTTTATTCCTTTTATAACATATAATTTTCCACTGTAACTTGGTGAATTATGCAGATTTGTCACAAGTCATGACTGTCTACATTCGATGATATAAACTGAAAATATACAACATATTGGTTTCGGAACAATATGGGCTGATGTCACGGCGTCAAAGGTTCTTCTTGGATTTACCACCAAAATGCAGTAACAGAGTCTTAAACATTTCATAGCATTGGTACCATTAAATTGATGAGCATAAAAGCATCACCATGAGTTTTGCATCACTCGAAATCTCAGCATAAGATGACAAAGCAAACATAAAATAATGGTATTCTGACATTATCTTGTACAATGTACATCCATTCATGATCAGATTTTTCTAAGTAAAGCCTTCCTCCAGTGGTTGGAATGATATCGGTCTGTATGTAGTGAATAGTATTATCTGATTAACTAATGGATCTTTACTTCTATCTCCCCTTTGCTTGCATCTAATAAATTGCTTAAAATCACCTGTGAACATGATTATCAATAGTAGTCATCACCACTTATAACTAATCTATAAGTTGGAAGAGAAATGGACGAAGAACGCCTAAAGGGGAAGCACTGCCGTAGGAACCTTGGGCACGGGTGAGGGGAGCAATAATTTTGCCGATATATATTATACTGTAGAAAAGAATACTCTCTATGGATGTGCCCCTGAATAATTACGACTGATGACTTTTTTGCCGAGGAATTTGGCTTGATAGTGCCCCCCTCCCTCTTCAGACTGAAATTGCTTCCAACAGGCCTAAGAGGGGTGTGTAAATACGTTTACATCATTGCTAAAAACTGAAATTACTTGTAAAAGTTAAAATCTTTCAAAATAATTATGTGGTTTTCTGTACATACACACACACCCTCACCCTTACACACACACACACACACACATAATCTTATCATTTAATATTATTGTCTTCAAAAACAGAAAATTCATGTACTGATAAAAATTATTTGGTAAATACGACGGTTGTCTATAAATTTCGATGACAAATGCTATTATTCTCTAAATAATGACTGATTGCCTAACAGGTACATGTATGATAATATTTTTGATATTGACTATGATTAGAGAATTTACAAAAATTAAAACAATACACATTATTTTATTAACTTTATGCATGTAGATATACATGTAAACACTTTGTAAATGCAAGTCGCATGGCCAAGTCTGACGTTAAGCTAATTTCATGATAACGTCAAAAATATGGATTTTGAATTCTGTCACATGTTCGTGGACACACGCTATTTTTTTTCTTTATTATGCCACACCACCAAGTTGTGCGAGAGTGTTTCTAGAGCATAAATGAGTACATTTTTGAAATTCAAAACAATACATGATAATTTACGAGTGTCATCAGCATCAACACTTCGTCCGACGTTGCGCTAGATTCATAACAATGTCGTAAAAAGGTACATTTTATTTTCATCATATAACTGGTTTTTCACTTCTTGTACTGTCTCCCAAACCGTACAACTTTTGAAAAATTATATATACCAATTTCAAATCAATGAACTAAATATATTCCAATAATTTCAAGTTGTTTGAATGACAATTTTGTCTCTGACGTCGTTTTAACCATATTAATTAAAGCATAATTTCAATGATCAGACGTTCTTTTCGGATGGCCGTCATCGCTTAATCCAAAAACTTTATTTCAAAATTTACAGCACTTTAACGCTTCGCTGTCGGCATTATCTGCGACTTTTAAAGGTCGAATTTTTACAAAAATATTAACTTCAAATAATCAAAACCAAACTATTCTGACTTGTTTAGCAAATATTTTGGTATAAAATAAGTATATCTAGGACCATTCAGTTTGAAGAAAGTCATTGTCCACGACCTTTATGAATAGAACACTTTAATTTATGCATTTATTATTAGCAATTGATAGGACGCATATAAATATACACATATGTATGACTACTTTTCCAAACCTAAAATCAGCCTGAAATTAATTTTAAAGGAACTCTTAGAAGCAAAAATAATCCGGAAAAAATAACATCAGAGATATAAAAAGTTTTCAATATTTTAAATTTTACTCAAAATTGGTTTGTTTCATTGTAATTGACAAATAAATGTAAGGGAAAAACTGTTTTTGCCTTTCACAAACATCTGCTATCGATAACACTTTCTAAAAGATCAACTACTCTATAGTCTTAGCCTTTAAACAAGAGGCCCAAGGGCCTTAAATACCCAATTTTATGTTAACGCCCCCCAAAATCTACCTAAGTCAAGATCAATAGTATACCGCCTGTCAATCATTAAAAAAAAACAATAGCTTCTGATTTGATTGACGGGCCAGTTACGTGGGCTACCTGATAATCTGAGTTTGCATGTTTTGAAAACAATTACCTGTTCACGCGTCAAAGGCTTTCATGTACCGCGTGAAAGGTCGCTCTGTATACACTCTGGTTAAAAAAAAATCATGTCGCTGTTATATTGGTTGATGATATTATTTTTGAAATATAATTGAGAGTAGATAATTAAACAGTGACTTCGTGATTTTTTTTTCCAATCTTCACTGCTGTTTTGTACTTGTTAGCGATATGCCTAAGATAACTGTAGAACTTTTCGAAGAAAAATTAGCGGATATTCAAACCCTCTCTTCCTTCAATAACTGAGAGAGAAGAAGTTTCTGTAGCAGCACAGACCGATAATTCTTCCGAGCCCCTTATTCAACCTGTATCATGATTTTAAGAATGTACGTATAATGCCCTTGTAGACCTTGCACTTGGGTACACAGAAACTCAATTCGCCGTAATTGGAAACAACCGACCCCCTCCCCCACCATTTGAAGATTATAGCAAAATGCAATGGGTTAAATAAGAAAAGATATTTATACTTATATAAATAAAGTATCTTGTATCTAGCACCATGAATTACGAAAGATTCTTTTTATATCCAAATCTGAAACAGGGCATAAGAACACGGACCCTCGGAAAATAGCGAATATCTGGACACCATTGTTCGCCAGAAAAGTTAATAATATTCCGATCGTGGTAAATGTCCACACAGTAAGTGGAATCTTTTTATTTCAATATTCACACTTGATATTTTTTAATAATTTTTTTATTGGCGATTAAAGTATTGATATGATTGCTTCATAGTTTTCACCTTTTTTTTTAATTTTACGATTTTTAAAAAAGATATGTCTTTTTAATTTTTTTTCTTCAAAAAATATCGACGAAAACGCTAAGTCTACAAAATTTATATTTCAGTACATAATTTATTTTAAATATTTTTACTCAAAATTATGCACAAAACGCGTAATGTTGACCCTGATTACCAAAAGCCAGACTTCCTGTGTAATGCAGTGTGAATAGGGATTTTCGACATCTTGAGTATTGGGGGTCTCCAGGTAAATAACACCAGTACTACCAAGACCACTCCCCCTCCTCAGGTAACCGTACGGTAAATTGGGTCTTTAACGGTCACCTGAGTATAATACAACAATTTAGAGGATCCACAGAGTATAAACTGAACTGAAAGGAGAAGCTTTGTTGCCCAAAAGCAAGAAAAATAGGGTGATCAGGATCACCAAATAATTAGTGTAGCATTCATTAACAGTTCATAAATTAGATTTTAATCCGTTCCCAATTTATCACTTTCACCATACAGTATACGAGGGGTGATCAAAGAGTTCGCGAACTAATTGAATAACTTCCTTAAAAGAAATAAAAGAAATAAAATGAGGATTCAGTGCTCATTATTTTTTCCAAGTAGTCCTCTCCGATTATAATGCACATCTGCCATTGTTCTGCCCATGCGCGAATCATGTGATCCAAACGGTCTGACATGCTCCGTGGCATTCTGTTCAAAGAAAGTAAAAGATTTTTCCGAGTCTTAAATTTCTTTCCATGCAAGTTTTTTTTTTTTTTATAAAATCTCGGCAATAGGATAGGTGGATAAGGACATCCCTTCCCAGAATTAGCATGGTGATCAACACAACCCGAGTTCTCTGTCTCGGGAGCGTCGTTTATCCAATGTGGATAAAGTACGGACAACCTCTTTTTATCATATCTCATATGTTTAAAGTCTAAAGTAAACAATATTTTACGAATTTAATAATATTGTAAAAATAAACTATTTTTCTAATTGTAACTTGGCGATCTTTCATAACAAATTGCTTAACTAAGGACACATCTTTTCCCCGGCTTGCTTTCACTGGGCAACAGAATAAACATCATTTTTAACCATCTCCCTGCCTTTACTAAAACAATCAATCCAATTAATGATTAAACTTCTGGTAAGTCTTTTGTCTTCATAAACCTTGTACAAATTATCATATTCTACTGCAAAGGAATTTCCAAGATATATGTTAAACTTTAAAGCCGTTCATTTCTCGGGTACGACTGGATCAACCATTTTTGTCACAGGTCACCTACATATATATTGACGTCATTTTCACATTGTGACGTCACAAACACAGAGCAAAACATTATATAACACCGGCTATTTATAGAACATGTGTATTACTATATGTGTGCCAAATTTCATTCTGATCTGAATTGTGGTTTTGTAAATATATAGTTCGCGAACTTTTTTATCATCCCTCATATTAACAAACTATCAGTGCTTTTGTACTTTCTTAATTCCTTGTTGAAATCTCTTACACTGGCCTCTCTTGGTCTTTGATGAACATTTAATAAGACAATTTATTT